TTATTTATACCCTCCTTCGCAGTACATACGAGGTTCTGTAGTTAGGAGTCGAGAACAGTTGCTCAATGATATCACAGTCAAACATTACTTCCGATAATGTGCATGGAATAAAACTCGCTAAATGTTCCGAGAGGTCTACAAGATCTCGTGCATGTACAGTCTACTCATCAAAACCTCGGTCCGACACTGCTGACGCGGACCTTCGTCTGTGCTGACCCGTGACTGCGGCCGGGCACGCCAGCCAACTCTCGTACTCCACGTCCAGACTAACCTCTTAGTCGTGGAACTTCCTGTTCTCGTTCTCACCGAAGAGCGTGACCCTGATGGACGGCAGGGCCTGGGACTCGAGTAGCTTCAATCGTTCTTGGAAGGTGTTGTTGATGTCGATTCGGCCGTTTGTACCAACGATCATGGCACCACCAGCACTGTCTGGAGTTAGTCTTGCCCTATCGGATAGCAGTAGAAAGACCTACGATCCCTCTGGCAGCGGGTCGCTCTCATCAATGGTGATGGAGACGTCCTTGCCAATGTTCTTCTTGTACTCGGTCTGCGCCTCCTCGATAGCCTTCTTGGTAAGGTCGTAGTCCGCCTTCCGGACCTTGACCTGCAACTTATCCTCGTTGAGCGCATAGGCGCCCTCGACGATCAGGTCCTTCATGACGCTCTGGTACTTCTTCTTGTCCTTTGAAACATCGCCCAGCTTCTTCTCGGCGTTCTCAAACAGGCGGTTGAGCAGCTCCTGGCGGGCGGAGAGGATGCGTAATCGGCTCTTGTTGGAGACGGTGGAGCGGGTGATTTGCTGCGACATGCTGGCCTGCTTGAACTTCTTCTCGTAGGATGAGTCGATCGAGGCCTGTTCCTGGCGCACGAGCTTGGACTTCTCGATGGCAAACTCCTCGTCGGCCTTGAGGCGGATTTCGTTGGCCTTCTCCATGGCTTCCTGGCGGATGAAGGCCGTCATCTTCTTGAGCTCGCCGGCGACCTGCCATGGTGGTGCGTGTTAGCTATCGTGTTGACGTAGTGGGCGGGGAGCTTGCCGCGGGCTGGAGCGGGTGGGGAGTTGTACCTGGTCGTCGGAGAGGGCGTGGACTTGCGACATGATGGCGGTATTGTGTGGGGTCCTCTGGGCTACGGGGGAGGGTTATGGGTGCTGGCGTCGAGGTATAGCAGTGACGGAGCTTGGAGGTTGAAGTTCAAGCTTGGGCCCCCAGACACCCAGACGCTGCCCGCGGTTACCCAGGCACGTCTGCAGAGAATCCATGGCACGACGTCGCAGGTACGCGATGGTAATATTAAACGTGTCACACTATGGATATAATGGATATATTTCTTGTTCAACCTCGTCGCGTCGCCTCGTTGCTGCTCCTGAGCTCTCCAAGGCCCTCCTCCTGAGTCCAACTACATCATCAGTCGGCTGATCCCTGCAACCTGCACGGCGTCGGCTAGTCTTCCCCAACCGTCTCGTGCACTTCACCGACTCAGCGTGACGTTTCGCGACTTGCACGTCTGCGCTGTCTACTATCAAGACCACCCATCCCCGCCCCATACCCTCATACGCACAGCATGCGCCCGACGACTAGGTAGCGACACGCGCAGTGCAGCGACGACAGCCGACACGAACCATGGTGGAACTCTCGCCGGGCGCGAGCGTTGCTGTGAGTACCCAGGCCGCCACACCACCACGGGAATAGACGGCTAACGGACGGACATGCAGCTTGGAGTAATGGTCGGCCTTGCCTCTACCAGCATCCAAAGCGTTGGCCTGACGCTGCAGCGGAAGTCCCATCTCTTGGAGGAAGAGAAGGACGACGACGATGAGAGGCGACCCCCATACAAGCGGCGGAGATGGCAGGCACGAACACCCTTCGCGCATTCGGGCATGATTCACTAACATACATACAGCTGGGCATGCTCATGTTCGTCGTGGCAAACATCGTCGGCAGTACCATCCAAATCACCACCCTCCCCCTTCCCGTCCTCTCTACCCTCCAGGCATCCGGCCTCGTCTTCAACTCGATATGCGCCTCCATCATCCTCAGCGAACCCTTTACGCGATACTCCTTCGTCGGCACGATGCTCGTTGCGATAGGCGCATTGCTCATCGCCTTGTTCGGTGCCATTGCGGAACCGTCGCATAACCTGGATCAACTGTTGGCGCTATTGGGACGAAACACCTTCATTGTATGGATGGTCATGACGGGCATAGTGGTTGTCATGCTGGTTATTGCCACTTGGTTATTACACCGCATGCATCCGCGGACCACTCCTCGACAACGCCTCGTACGCGGTATCCTCTTCGGTTGCGTCAGTGGCATCCTCTCCGCGCATTCACTCTTGATCGCAAAGAGCGCCGTCGAACTCCTCGTCCGGACTCTCATCGACCGTCATAATCAGTTTGACCGCTGGCAGTCGTGGATGATCCTAGTCGGACTGGTCGTCTTCGCCCTGACCCAACTCTACTACATGCATCGCGGACTGAAATTGGTTAGCACAAGCGTCCTTTACCCCTTAGTGTTCTGCGTGTACAACATCATCGCGATTATAGACGGCCTCATCTACTTCGACCAAAACGATCGCCTGTCGAGTCTGCACGCTGGGTTGATCGCACTTGGAACTGTCATACTGCTTGCGGGAGTTGTCTGCTTGAGCTGGCGACTTGAAGACAACGAGGAAGAGCCCATGTCACCAGTAGCAAGCAAGCACACAGGCAGGGTTCCGATGCCTCACAATGTGCTGGAACCCGGTATCGGCCTTGCGCATGGCCATAGCCACGACGAATCCGACTCACCTCTGGACATTGACGAAGAAGCCCCAGGCTTTCACGGCTATGCCTCGGAGCAAGCCAAGCGGAAAGCGGTCGACGAAAGGACACCCCTGCTGGCCCGCGCTCCCACAGGTCCCGCGGCGACACTCGCCAATCCGAAGAAGCGAGCATCGGTAGACGCCGGTGACTTGAAAAGTCCCATACAATCCCGTAGATTGCCGAGGAGACGGCGGATGACTATCTCGGAGGAGACAAATGAGATATGGGATGAGCTCAACGACCGAGAGACTCTGCCTTCTCCTGCTCGGCGATCCGTGGATCTAGAACGACGACCGCGATCTGGGACTTTGCCTCCACGAAGGAATGCTGCGCAGTCGGCGTGGCTCAATCAGATGCGTCGACGGTCCTGGTTCGAAGGATTCGGTAGCCGAGGCAGGAGCGTGTCGCAAGGAAAGAAGCCCGTGGACAGCTCTACATCACTTCTTGATCATCCCGATCCAGAAGACGGCGATATCTCTGATACAGACATGGACGAAACATCCCGGAGACGACAGACCTGGGGGTACGGCCAAGGGAGCAAAAGCCAAGACAATTTGGGCGACTGGTTCAAGATGAAGTGGTGGCGCAAGAAGTGGAAAGAGGACGAAGACCATGAACAAGAACGACCTGCATGATATCACTACCGCATCCATTAATTTGAATATACCCAGAATGTATTATCAGAATTCAAGACGCAGTTCTAAGGATTACTACGCAGCGCGATCGTCCCTTTCAAGCAACAAGCATCTCCGCTTTGCGAAAGTCTCCTCGAGTCATAGTCGGAACCCTCGTTTCTGCACTAACCCACATATGCACGACATCCAGATGGAGTAATCCTTTCCTGACGATAAGCTCATAGCCAATCGTACATTACATGCCATTGCCCCACCTTGAACCACCCCACTATCCCCAGCTACCTCCAACGTTTCGGGGTCGTCTCGCTCAACACCTGCAGCGCACACTAACAGATGGCAGTGGATAAGATCGGAACGCTTAGCAAAGCTCCAGCCAAATCGGCCATGTGTTTTATGCATGCCAAGCGCCGCATCTAGTATCGAAGTCCCAGATATGCGCTGCCCTACGCCTACATGGCGGCTGACTGGATGACGGTGGCAGGGGAACTCCCGTCAACAGTGTATCTTGAGAAGCTGATGATACCGATGCCGTAAGTGTTGAAGTCGAGCAATGATAGATAAGGCTGTAGTACATAAGGCCGGTCGTGCTGTTGCGCCTTCCACCCTCAGCGGCCTCTATAACACCCCTACATAACCCGAACAATCCACATCATATCAACCATCGACATCATGCCAGCAATGCAATACTTCGAGAAAGCGCAAACGACTTTCAAGCCCCCTCTAATCGCCAACGAGAACGCCTACCTCGGTGACGTCGTATCGTCGTACGTCTAGCCTCCTCTTGTCGCATTCCATCAACCCACTACCCCGAACTAACCCTTCCCCCTTCACCAGAGAATCTACAGACCCAGATAAGCCCATCAGCGGCGGTTTCTACCGTCTAGAGAAGGGAACACCACTCGTGTACACGTATACGTACGATGAGATCAAGATAATCGTAGATGGCCACTTCTACATCAGCGATGAGACGGGCAAGGAAGTGAAGGCTGAGAAGGGGGATGTATTTTTCTTTCCCAAGGGGAGCAAGATTACGTTTAAGACGGATGATTTTGGATTGGGCTTTTTCGTCGGGCAGAGGAAGAAGGATGGTGCGTAGATGGAAGCAAGAGAAGTTTTGAAATGACGATTGCGTGTCATAAACACTAGTTGATGCAATTTCTTGCCTTGCTTACCAAATCTCTGATCATTGCATTTTCTCGCGTTCGAGGATATCCTTGTGTAGCCGGTGGTATGTGTTGCGAAATCGCGCTGCTCGCCTTGCTTACCAATGCCGGCGTATTGCATCCAATCAACAAGTTTACGTCGCAACATACCAGCCATGAGCCTCAACTTCTGGAGACGCATTTGTAAAACCCCAAGTGGGAAGTTGTCGCAGAATAGGCCAGAAATGGACGCCTTAGGTGAATGCTCGCTAAGCATCATCGGTGTCGCTGCATGCTGACTGCATCTCGGTATTGGTGGAAGTATCAGGATATGGTATAAGTATGCCACTACAGCTCACGATGAACACAAGAGCCTCATCATCTTCACGAAGTTACCACCGATACAAAAGCACTTCTACAATGTCTACCCCAACGACCTACGCAGCATGGACCATTCCGGCAACAGCCACCAAGCTGTCCGACCTAACGAAACAAGAAAAGACTGTCCCAACTCCAGGGCCCAAACAAGTCCTCCTCAAGATGACAGCAGCCTCCCTCAACTACCGCGACGTCCTCGTCTCCACCCGCTCCCCCCAATACCCAGGAGACCACAAATTCGACCTCGTCCCCGGCTCCGACGGAGCCGGCATCATCCACTCGACTGGCGCAGGCTCTATCTGGAGCGATAAGAAAGGACTCGCAGTCATGTTCAACCAGAACGGGTGGCTGTCGGGAGACTTTCGCAACCTGGACTTTGCCACGATCCTAGGCGGCACGAGCCAGGATGGCACGTTGCAAGAGTATCTTGTGCTGCCTGATGAGTGGATTGTCGAGCAGCCAAAGAACTTGACGGCAGTTGAGGCGGCCTCTCTGACGACGGCTGGGGCGACGGCTTGGTCTGCGATTCGTGGGCAGCTTGATGGAAGGCTGGACGGGAGTGTTGGAGATTGGATCGGGGGCTGGACTGATAGGAGATTGGAAGGGAAGTGGGTGCTTACCCTGGGGACGGGTGGCGTTAGCTGTTTTGCGATCCAGGTAAGTCGTCATTTGTGGTGCAAGGGGATGTATACTGATAGAACGTAGATTGCTTCGGCTCTTGGTGCGACGGTCATCGCTACTTCCTCTTCGGACAGCAAGCTCGAGATCGCGAAGAGTCTCGGCGCGACGCACCTCATCAACTATGTCACCACGCCGGATTGGGACGAAGAAGTCTCTAGAATCACTGGCGGCAAGGGCGTCGATCACGTTATCGAGACAGGTGGTGCAGGCACGTTGATGAAATCCATCAACAGCACCCGCGTCGGCGGTTTGATCAGCATGCCAGGTGTTTTGACACCGAACGCGCCTATCGATGCGGCTTTTGTCCCAAGTATCTTATTTACTGCAAAGACTGGTAAGCCTTTGACCATCTCTCCTGGATCACATGCCAAGTATGCTGACAACGAAAACACAGTAAAAGGATGTTGCGCCTTCCCGCGTAATGCAGTTGTCGAACTAGCGCAGTTCGTTGAAGCGCACGGCATCAAGCCAGTGGTGGCGCACGACTATCCTTTTGACCAGACGGTTGAGGCATTTGAGATGATGGCGAAGCAGAGCGCTGTGGGCAAGATCGCTGTCAAGATTGGTGGAGAGATGTGAGGAGCCTGACGATTCTAATGTTGTCACCACTGTCGTTACAATACCTGTAAAATCTACTTACAACATACCTGCAATACGCGGTACTTGACGCGATCCCTTTTCATGGTACATTTTGTATTGCGCAAGCTGTGAGTGGCTTGTTTCGTTCTGCGTCATCGCACTACCAGTCAACGCCAACCAAAGTTGAGGATGCTAGGGCACCTTGTGAGTATATAATAGCCACGTCTGTGTTTTCAAGCCGCAGCTTTAAACAGTGCTGTCACTCCAATCTCATATACCCCACCCTTTTCAAATGGATTCACTCAAGCACATGAGCCGAATCTTCTTGGATCTTAGCGGGGAGCGAAGAAAGGCGAGCATGAATTCATCTTTCAATACGGGTGATTTAGAAGACTACGCAAAGTTCAGAAGGCTATTCAACCAAACACGCTGGTTAGGAGAAGGGGGCGAGTAATCTCCATGTACGAACTGTTGTGAGACATTTACTGACTTCGTGCATCCATCTTTAGGCGATGGCACAGTCTACGCATACCAACACAAATATTCGAAAGCGCTCATTGCAGTAAAAACTCCTATTGCGTACAACACTCCTTACCATGCATCTCAAGCAGCTAAACGCATCAAAGAAGAAATCGCAAATCTTACCATCCTCGGTCAGCATGAGCACATCGCCGGAATGTTAGCATGGTCGCATAACCATCATCCCGCGGCCCCAGCAATCTTCCTTCCATTCTGCGAGCTAGGAGATCTTCTTGCATACATGGCCAGCTATAAAGAGCAGCAACTCCGGCATTCAAAACTCATTATACGAACACCCGAAGTCACAATCTGGAAGTGTCTTCGCGACATGGCCCTTGCTCTAGATTACTTGCACAACATGAACGACGAGTTTGGCTACATACACAACGACGTCAAACCAGACAACATCTTGGTCGAATTTCCCAAAGGCTGGAATCCAAAAGATGGGATCCCTGATGAGCCGGTATTCAGATTGACCGACTTCGCTCGCATGACACGATACCCTCTACCCGAAGGTGAGAAGCCCAAAAAAGATTTCCTTGGCACACCCGAATGGGCACCACCATTAGCCGAACAAGAGAAGCAGCGGCCGTCCGTTGATATCTGGGCTCTGGGTGCGACCTTACAAACGCTCGCTTTGAGAATATATCCTGTCCAATCGCGGGAGGCTTTCGTCGAGAGTCGGATTAAGGCAAACAAACCCGCGCCTATCCTGATTGACGACGGCGCTTGGAAACAACTAAAATGGCGTATTCTCATACCCACCGTTTACCGCCCCCTCGACGCTACACAGGAGGAACTGATAAATCACCACGACGTCCGCATGTCCATCTGCGCCAACGGCGCGGACGCGTACAGCGCTTGGAAGCATTGGCCATATACTAGAACACTCAACACCTGGTATAAAAGTATGTGGGAACGAGACGTGGAGAAAAGAACTACGGCAAAGCAGCTTGTCGAGTGGTGCGTTCCGTTGATTGCGAGGTATATTCGTATCGCGCGGAATACGGAAAAGGCGGAAGAGTGCTTTGAGAGGGCGGCGAAGTTGAGGGACGAGGTTGAGGGGAAACAGCAGAATAGAGAGCTAAGAGCCAGGGCTATTGAGCTTTTGGATGCACCTAGCTATGAAGGTAATGGGTATGGTGATCTTTGAGGCAGAATAGATAAAACAGAAGATCCTTCAAGTCGTGGTTTGCTAACAGTATGCGGAAACGCTTTCTCCTCTTCCTCACATTTCTCGCTGCCATCAGCGGCTTACAATTCCTGCTTGGTGAAAGTCGAGTTCTTGACCTTTGAAATCTTAAATCCACCAGGCGCCTGAGTCTGGAACATACCCTTGGGGTCGTACTTCTTAGCCGCAGCGCGGATCTTAGCGACGTTTGCGGAGCCGTAGCTACCAAGTGGGTCCTGGTACGCGTCGGCGTAGTTCAGGTACTGCCAATCTACCAGAGCGTCTTTGCTGGCAGCGAATCTTTGCATCTCTTCGGTGACAGCCCTGAGCGCCTCTCTCGCAATGACTTCGGTCTCTTCTCCTTTGACAGCAATGTCGAAAAGAAGCATGACTGCGTTGTCCTTTACGAGATCAAGACCCATGACGTTACCACCGCGTTCCTTGCTGTGCTCGGCAAAGGTGGTCGGGATAGCTTGGAACATGCACTGGGTGATGAAGTCGCCGTCGGTACTGATCGCCTTCCATGCTTCGACGAACTTGGTGTGGGCGTCGACAATGTACTTGAATACGGTGGCATCGTTCTTGAAAGTCATGGTGAACCAGATGTCACTAGATCTGTCAGTTTGATCATTTTTTTGCGTTCAGGATGACATACCGGTATCCTGTAGGTTGCTCAAGCTCGTCAGTAAGGTTCTTGTGGCTTGCCTTCCTTGTAGTGTCGGAGAGAGCAGGGATAGCCATGAACTTGTCGAAGCCTGCGGGAGCTACGTTTCCGGCAACATCCTCGTATGCGGCAATGATGACGATATCCTTCATGGCAGGGAGGTAGCTCCAGAAGACGATGCTGGAGCCGTCGGGGTAGTTCTCCACATTGTCGACCCATGCCGTGTAAGCTTCGACGTGTTGCTGTGTGTGGTTCTTGTCGTGAACCCTGACACCACCCCAAAGGTCTCCGGCAGTGAATGTTTGCACGTCGTAGCGGGTGACGATACCGAAGTTGAAAGAACCACCCTTGAGGGCTGTGAAGAGGTCGCTGTTGGACGTAGCGTTTGCGTTGACGACCTCGCTGCTTGGTGTTAGCGACAACCCATGTATTGTGTGATGATGCGACGGAGTACTGACCCATCCGCAAGGACAACCTCGAAGTTCTGTACCTGATCACAGGCAAAACCCCTTCGCGCAGTGTAGAAAGAGTTTCCGCCTCCAGTCAAGAAACCAGCAACACCGACACTGCTTGCTCGTCCACCCGCAACAGTCACCCCATAAGGTTCAAGTGCTCCGTAAACACCACCCCATCGGGTGCCAGGCTGGAATCGTGCGAGGTTTGCTGCCTCATCATAGATAGTTGTGTTCATAAGACCGAGGTCGAGTGTCACGCCATCATTAATGTTGTTGGACCCGGCCCAGGTCGAATGACCACCACTCCGTACCGCAAACTTGCAGTTGCTTTGCGCACCCAGGGTCTTGACAGCAGTCGAAACCTCTTCGGTAGATACTGGTTGGACAATGCAGTTAGGCTGCAACTGAGCACTCACCGACCAGTAAGATGCTGTTCGGTTCTTGTACTGTTCATCATTCTCGTAAAAGATGTTTTCCAGTCCGGCAACCTCCAGCGATGAACACTAAATCCGGTCAGCAATGATCAAAGTTTGACTAGGGAGTACCCGTCACACACGCAACTGTCATTCTTACTGCCAAGAGCCACGTTCTTGTGGGCACCGAACTGGGCAGCTTCGGCGTGCAATCCCAGAGATGCAACAATAGCCGGTGCAAGGAGCTTCATGCTGTCTCAACTTTAAAACTTAGCACACTCGAAAAAGATGTTGTTGGACCGATATGCCGGGTCGGCTGAGGTTTTATTGCCGCCATCGCTGCAGGCAGAGCTACCATGCCAGCAGCGGCTAACAGCACCCGAAGGAGATATCGCTCCAACTTGGCATTTAAACCTGAAAAGTCCTTCTCCTGCCTAGGTAGGCGGCTCTTATGCGGATCTTAACATGTATAGCAGAAGGGTACATATCCAGCTGCCGTTCTAACACGTGGTGTGCGCATTAGCCTTAAGGAGGGGTGTGCTCCTCCGGTCCCTGAGAAAAGAGGCGAGGGCTCCAGATATTTTCATCGATATGATAGGCAAATATTATCCTTGAACACGGGACGGTAAAATGGAACCTATCACACTCTGCACCAATGCCGCGGGCGGTCCGAACACAAGACCCACAAGCTACGGGAATAGCTAGTATCGGCCTTATCCGTCGGGGCTTCGACGTTTTCGATCTGTAGGATCAGATCCCAACCTCATCGCACGCGTCAGCATCGACACTTCGCTCGCATCGCGGCCAATTACTGTGCTTCAGAAATGCGGATCTGGGAGGTGTTCACCATGACTCTCACAGCATATCGGTTATCGTATCCTCCGATCTGTTCAGTGGAGACTGGGGGATGAACCAGATGAGCACTGAATCGTCTTGTGGACTGGAGTATGGAGGCCTGATATATCGTTTGAAGTGGTCTGAAGTCAGTAAACCAGCAGCCAAATGTGCATTGGCCATGGTCTCCCCGATCACATGAAGGTGTCATATCTATCTGAGCAAGACCCCGGACCCCTTCTCGGTAGTTATTGTGCCTCCATGTCCGTATCGAGGTCAACGGTCTGGCGAAGGGGTCAAGTCTACCGAGACGGGCCTTCACGTCCAGGCGAGTACTTCGATGCGATCGACATGAATGTCGTTCACATCCACTCCCCATCTGTTCCGCCCCTGGACTCGAAATTTAGCGCAAACTTGGCCGTCGAGCCTCCACAACCTTATGTGTGAAGCACCTCCGCCTGCTAGTTGGAGAAGAAGGTTTCAAGAGTCCTAGGCGTACATGCTCTCCCTCGTTGGGGTATTCTTTAGTTGCCGCTCCCGAGACCGTTGTTCATTAATCAACTATCCGTTCTTTGTCCAACGGTTGCCACGTCATGGCGACAGTTAACGGCGTCACAACCATCATCCCTCCACCCGATGGCTACGAGGTCGACTTCGCGAATCCACAGCGGAGGCTGGTGACAGAGACGTATGTGGTCTTCATCGTCGAGAACATCTTGGCACTTGCGTTTCTTGGGCAGCGGCTCTACACCAAGATTCGGCTTATGAAGCAGTTCCAAATTGACGATGGTATGGTATCCAATAACAGTGGCAGAGGAACTCTTCTGACAGAGGTCCAGCATTACTCCTCCTTGGTTGGGCTTGTTCAGTGGGCACTCAAGGTCTCTTGATAACTGGATTCTCGACCGGTAGTATCGGTGTACACGCCTGGGAAATATCGATCGAGAAATACGGCTTTTATTCGCGAGTAAGCTGACAACTCTTTCCCTCATCTACTTTTGTTGCGTATGTGCTGATTCGACGACTTGACAGCTCATTCTAGCAGCACCAGTCGTGTATGCTCCTTGCACAGCCCTGACGAAGGTCGCACTCTGCATCTTTTACAGTCGTCTCTCCCCGTCCGTCGCCTTCCAATGGGCTGTTTGGATCACCCTTTTCGTCTGCGCTGGTTCGTATACAGCGATCTTCTTCAGTTTGATATTCGCTTGCAAGCCAATTGCAGCCAGCTGGGATCCTCTACTGCTCGCTACGGCAACATGCGTCAACAGAGGGGCAATCTATATTGCTACGGCTGTGATCGGTATCGTGACGGATGTGATGCTGATGGCCATCCCCATTCCGACCGTCTGGGGATTGCAAATGGCGATGAAACAGAAGATTGGACTGACAATCATGTTCTGTGTTGGATCAATGTGAGTGTCCACCGGGAAGGAAAGTCGCGCTACGAACCAATGCTGACTCCATATAGCACAATGGTCACTTCAATAATTCGCCTTATTGTGTTGATCCCAGCTTTGACAGACATTGACCAAACCTGGATCATAGCCGTGGGGTGCTTGTGGATGTAATGTCTCTGTTGATCCGATGTGGTTTCAGGAAACTAACCACAATACAGCGTCGTCGAATCGAACCTGTTCGTCATATGCTGCTGCTTGCCGACCCTGCGACGTTTCCTAAAACACGCGGCCCCGCGATTAGTCGGCGAGAGTCGCGGATCTGAAAACAAAGATTCCTCAGGTCGCAATCGCGGGTTGCGCACCTGGGGAAGTGATGGAAACGCCAAGCGCAAGTATGATACGTTGATGCGCACTGTAGACGGCGCGCAAGGAGATGGCGACGATGAGATTCCTCTTGCTAGCGTGGCACCTAAAGCCTCGGATGGGCGAGAGGCCAAGGTGCCGACCGGGCACGTCTCCTATAAGGGAGACAACGATAGCGAGGAAGCTATCCTGTACGAGCGGACCGTCCAGGTCACATATGAAGGGGGTAACGGAGGCGACCCTGCGAATCCGTACACACGTCAGGTCTGGCCAGACGGGCACCTGGCACCCAGGGCCCTGTAAACTTCGCTCCACGCTTGACGCTGGAAGTGCATTTCTCGATATGATTGCTTGCTTACGACATTGCGACGCTTTTATGGATATCCAAGGTATTTGATCAGTGGCTGGTTTTACGATGGATGTCGGATGCAGGGCTGGTACCAACGAGGAGTTGCAGGGTCGCTTGATTTTCAGGATAACAGATTACATAATCACCGTGTCATAGCAAGTCGCGGTTGTGGAGCGCCAGCACGCGCCTGCCTCCGCACCATCACAACTTCTATCAGACATGTCTTCTTCCACAACCAAAGCCATCGTTCACAAACCCCCCATCCGAACGTTAGTCGATAGGCCATCTGTGATTCTTTATGGAGCTATTCAGTCCGATCCCAACAAGGACTGGCAGGCACACCTCACAGCCTTGCTCTCCGATCTACCCATTGCTATCCTGAACCCACGCCGAGATGACTGGGACAGCAGCTGGATCGAAGACATATCTTTCCCGCCTTTCAAAGAGCAGGTTGAATGGGAAATGGACCACGCGCGCATAGCCGATGTTATCGTTTTCTATTTCGCAGGCGAGGCTAAGGCATTACAGCCCATCACGCTGCTGGAACTAGGACTGTATGCCGGAACAGGCAAGGCGATTGTTTGCTGTCCAGAGGGTTTCTGGAAGAGAGGCAACGTACAGTTGGTATGTGAGAAGCACAACATTGATTTGGTGGAATCGGTTGAAGAGTTGGGTTACAAGGTACGGACAAGACTGTCGGCCAAGCTTCCTGAGGAGTCAACCACTGCGCATCCAGAAAACGCCGTGTGACATTGCCTCGTTTTCCTTTTGCGCTTTCAACCACTCGCAATCAATGCGTCAAGAATTGCGCCTCGAGACTGTTGTGTTCAGTTCATTCGATGTCTAATTGTTCAGCTGCCAAGAAAAGCCACCGTATTGCCCCTCGCATTTGGTCTTCTGCATCATCCGCTTAGCCTTGTGTAGCCCGACAGCCTGGCTGACCATCCAGGGGTGTCCATTCACGCGTAGATGTAAGATTGTACGAGCGAATCGTAGCCTGACATTGCAAGCTGTCGCATCGTGGGGGTCCAAGCCCAACGCCATGTTCACCGACCGGTCTCGAGCTGAACAGCGGCGTTGCGGATCTAGCCGCCAATTGTCTTACACCAAGAAAAACCATTTCGGGACGAAAGCTGGGTTCCGCGATACGTCACGTGCGTCTGAGGTCTTTACGCGCTGGCTGTTGAGCTCTGCGTTCGTCTTTCCACGTGTTTCTTCCTTCCTTTAGATGTATGCGCTTTGCATCTAGGATTTACGAATATTACCGAGCTACATAGCGACAATGTCTGGAGATCTCCGACTTCTCAGTCTCGATGGAGGAGGCGTACGTGGTCTGGCTTCACTGTACATGCTAAGGAAGATACTATCCTTAGTTGGAAGCCCAAAGCCATGTGTTTATTTTGACATGATCTGCGGAACAAGCACAGGAGGTTTGATTGCTATCATGCTCGGTCGACTGGAGATGTCTGTCGATCAGTGCATTGAGGCGTACACCGGACTGATGGATGTCGTCTTCGATCCGAAAGACAGAAAACTGCCTTTCAAAATTCGAAATGGTAAAGTTCAGCCTCGATACAAAACGAAGCACATGGAGAAAGCGATCAAGCAGGTGATGTCCAACGCTGGGTGGACATCGGATGATAGGTTCAGAGGGTCGAAAACTTCAGCTTGTAAAACGTAACGTCCCAAAGTTCTTCGTCTCGGAACCATACGCTGACTTAGCCAGTGTTGTGATTGCCATGACAGAAGAAAGCCGTGTCCCGATACGCTTCACCGATTATGAGAAAGCAGGCGAGCATTCCAACTTCTACAACGAAGTCAAAATCTGGGAGGTAGCTCGTGCTACATCAGCTGCAACATCATTCTTTGCGCCAATGGAGATAACACATTCCGGTGAACCTAGACGATTCCTTGACGCAGGCATCGGCTCTAACAATCCCATCGACGAACTGTATCTCGAAGCGATGTCGCTGTTCGACAAATCCGAAGAAGAGTTCGACAAGCAGATCCGAGTGCTAGTATCGATTGGTACAGGCAAACCAGCATTACACGGATTCGGCGAGAAAGTCACCGAGGTTGCGAAAAGCATTGCTTCGATCGCAACAGAGACTCAGAACACAGCGAACAAATTCCATCTCACGCATAAGAAATTGGCAAGCAGGGGCGGATACTTCCGTTTCAATCCTCCCGACCTCTCCGAAGTGGCGATTGACGAAGCGAGCAAAAAGGGCATTATCGCCTCGCGGACTGATACGTACGGCAACGACGCGCAGACTTTGGAGATGGTGGAGCGTTGGGTGAACGTGGCAGGAACCGAGAAAAGTGCGTTGACTCTCGCTAGTGCTGAAGAAATGGACTTCACTTAGATTATCTCTCATGTTGGTCATTTCTCGCAGTATGTAGATCAATGCTGACTACTATCCTGAAATAGAACCAATCATCTCACCGACTCCATCTGCAAATCACGTCAAGCCCGCTGTGACGAAACTGTTCTATTCACTGCACAAAGGACCCAAGTACATCAAAGAGTATGCGCCATCATACTGGCAACATCTAACGCTGGACTCGTACTACGTGTACGAAACGATATACGACAGGTGTAACCCTCAAGACAGGAAAGTCTCTTGTACGTATCACAAATCCAACTTCAAACCCCGAGAGACACTAATAGCCTTCCAGTCAGCGCTTTCTTTGAGCAGTTCGGCCCCGATGCAAAGCCATCATCTAACCACGTCTTCGAAACCTGGGCGCGCCTTCTCCGAGACAAGCGCGACGTGCGCAACAGTATACATCGGAAGCCGTTCGTGATGGCGATTTTGTACATGCTCCACGTCGAATCTAGTCTTGATCTCACCAAGATGACAAACATAGACCCTAATCGACGCGAGATGCTAAAGCGGTTCTCGAAGTGGGTGCCATGCAAGTGTGATGCTAGGTGTGGCCGCGAATGGAACTTCGTGAATGAGGTCGGGCTATCGCGCGGCGGAAATGGTGGTAATGAATGTGATCTTCTGCAGTTGTTCGACGATAGCAAGTGGAAGTTAGTGTTCAAGAGCGATAAAGTGCGGAAACTAGATGCGACCAGGAAGGCATGGGAAGCTTCGATGTGAGATGAGGGCAGATGTCGCTTGCTGCTTGTGTTCGTTGGAACTAGTTGACAGTTTTCTCAAGATAGAATTTAGATACTAGGTTAATGTACAAAGCAACTCGCGATAAGTCCATTGATGATATCTCGCTAACTACGTCCTTTATGCTCGGTCTGAGGAGCATCGAAGTTGCCAATAGAGTATTCGTGTAGCCACTACAAGCTAATGGTCATAAAATCTGTGACCAAAGGTGCTGCCGGATTCGTGCACTGTGGACATCGGCCGTGGCATCTCACTCGCAGTGGGCCCAGAGTAGTCACTATCGCTAGGAGCCTCAGATGGCGGCACATTCGGATGTGCTCCGGGAGGCGTCAGGCCGCTCCATTTAGCCATGATCTCATCCCGAGATCCGCCATATGATGGTATAATTTCCGTACGAGGTCCTTGAGTAACAGTCGGCTCGTATGGTAGCTGAGAGGGCTGGTTGTGTTGAACAACGTCGTTGTTTCTCTGGTGGCGCGGTCGGTACCAGCAGAAATATCCAAGTAGCAGAGCGATGACAAGTACAGCAATACCAGCCACCGTTATGAGAGCAATTGCAGTGGTACTGATCGGGTTACTGCTGCTGCCACCACTACCTCCACTACCACCGGCCGCTGGGGTTTTGCTGCCGGCGGTGGGCTGGAGTCCACTAGTGATCGATCGCAGGAAATCATCAATACCCGTGGTGCCAGATCCCGCGGTCAGAACTTCTCCTTCAACTGTTGATGTCCCAAGCACGAGAATGTCGTCTGAAGCTGTTCCGCATGCCCACGAGTAGAATGTATTCGTGTCGTCAAGGGCAGAACTGCGAGCGTAGCGGAAGCACTGTTGTGCTTGCTGCGAACTGTAGACTGAGATGAGCATTCATTTTATTACGAAAACTCTGGAGAGCATACCATTGAAGAATTGAGCCATATATGGACGAGCAGGTGTCGGCTGGGAGGGAGTAGCCGAAACAATCAGTCTGACCGTACGGTCGGCATGTAGCCCAACTATCGAGACACTCGACGTTGTTGCAGCATGCGAAGCCGGGCTCAAGTTGTTGTGTAGTGATGCAGTTATAGTTTTCCGCACATGTGATGGGTAATTCTGTTGCAGGTTAGATGTTGGCCGCATCCCCAGGGTAAAGATCAATGCACCTGAGTTGCCACGAATGAAGCCGCATGTCGCAACGGATCTTTTGAATATATCGCCATGTAAAACAGGAGCCGGCGTGATAAGACTCTGTGGTATCGCTACCTGTACTCCTGTCGCCCGTACCTGTGGATTGGGGATGTCTTTTCCAGCGACCAGCGCGGCGATACTCAAAACATAGAAGCGGAGACTTGGTCGCATCGTCATCTACGGTGAAGCGGTATAGGACAAGTTCGTGTGGTGTTGTGAGTGCCAGCGAGGAATGCGGTTTGTGCACATGCGCTGTACCTGCTTCTACCCTCGGCTACCCTTGTTCCACGAGCTGAGAGAGCAAAGTATCAGCCTTCCTGCGCAAGTATGCATGTGTAACATATCGGTCTGGCCGAGCGCCACCAATAACGATATCTCGTATCTTTGGGTATCATGGATGCCGACGGCTTGTAGGACCTTGGGTTAAGCGTGGGGTGATTCATGCGAGCCTGTTGAAGCACCTGCAGGCAGCAATGTCAGCCGCAGTCCGAACGGACCTATCGCAACAGTTTTCTTCCGGAGGACTGTGTATGAATTAGTGATAATCAAGTGGTGTTGTACGCTGATCTGTAATGCCCAAGCTGTTCGCGAGAAGGACAACCTGTTCGTGCGATCCGGTCCCAAATGCCAAGTTCCCCAGGGCTGAATCCAAGATCCGATTGCAGCGTGGTATAACTAATGAAGCGCGAGGGCCATTTGAAAGGCACATGCTGGGTGTGTTGAGCTTGGCGGGCTGAACGTCTGCCTCAGGGATGAGCACAGCTGGATTGCAGCTGCAACGCGCCGTGAAACGCACTTCCCTGGCGCGGTGCATTCGGAAAGCAGCTTTTGCGATTCGAGTATCGCACAAGCCCCTAGAATGGTATCGTTATTGGCTCTCAGCTCTCAAAAAGAGCATATGTCGAGAAAGCTGGGCATGTGGAGGAGGCAACGGGGCGGACATTCGGGCGTTGTCCAACTGGCAGTGGCGCTAAGTCACATGCGGCGCTACTGCACTCCAGCTTCCTCTAAGTCGCCCGCTCCTGGTCGCCGTCAATGTTAAATTTCACATCGTTTCGCCGAGCGTGAGAATGTGGGATGATACTGTTTGATTACCAGTGCTACAATGGATGAGCTCGTAGATTCCCAAAGATTACAAGGGTCATGCTAAGCTGTCGCCCAGCGGGCTCTCCCTATAGAGTATATGGCTCTTGCTTCCATGAAACCCTTCTCTCATCCCTCATCCTATCGAATCTCACCACACTCTGTAGCAGAACTTGAGCGCCTAGTGCACAGTCCTCTTCCTTGCAGAACTCCCTTGGGTTGTGGCTGACGCCTTCTCTGCACGGCACGAAGATCATGCTCGTCGGGCAGCGCTTACTCGCATAGACGCTATCATGGCCAGCACCAGAAGTCATCTCCATAGACTGGTTAGGGCCGAGAATACTGCGCGCGGATTGGCTGACAGACGTAATGCAGTCTGCGTGGAACTTGGTTGCTGGGCTGTCGAAATCCTCGACTATCTCAACACTGAGTGGAAGACCACTTGTGCAACCGTGGTTTGAGCCTTCAACATCTTCGCCTGCGGCGATCTTAGGGAAGTCGCAGAGGACTAGCTCCTTCATCTTCGCGACTGTCTCGTCTTTCGGTGCCCTGATGTCGAGGCTGAATGTTACCTCGCCTGGCACCGTGTTTGTTGAGCCAGGCTTCAGGTTGAGTATACCCGTGGATGCTAGTGCGGCATTGGCGGTTGCAAGACGATGAGAATGAAGGATCATCTTGCTCGCTGTCAGCAGCGCGTCAGCTCGTGATTTGAGATCGGTAGTTCCGGTATGCGTGTCTCGCCCCTTGACTTTAATAGCCATCCATTTGTAAGCTTGCACTCCAGTGACAACTCCGATCTTCTTATTTGCCATCTCCAGAAGTGGGCCCTGTTCGATATGAAGTTCGAAGTGCGCCGCCATTGGCATGGCCTCGTAGCTCGCTGGTGTACTCCCCAGGTAGCCAATGCGCTCGAGCTCAGATTTCATGGTTGCGGTTCCAGGATGAACTTCGCGAAGGTTATGCGCCATTTCAAGAGGAATAGAGCCCGCCCAAACTCCGCTGGAAACCATTGACATTGGGAAGCGCGCACCCTCCTCGTTAGTCCAGTTGACTACGCCGACAGGGTACTCGGTCTCGGTCCAGTTGTCAGCGAGCACTCTGAGCATCTCCACGCCAGCAGTAACACCCAGAATGCCGTCATATCGTCCACCAGTAGGCTGCGTATCCAAGTGACTTCCTGCAAATGTAGGTGGTTTGTCGTTCCGTAGTCCCGGTCGCACAGCGAATTGATTTCCCATGGCGTCAACGGTAACCTCACAGCCGAGTGCCTTTGTTGTTTCTGCAAACCAGTCACGTGCAGTCTTGTCGGCATCAGTCAGCGCCAATCGCTTCATACCCGTCTCCGTTGGCTTTCTACTATCGTCAGCCACATGGATATCCATTACTTGGACCACTTACTCGCCCCATGGCTCGCCTATACCCCATTGGCATGTGTCGTGGATATCCTTCATTAGTCTCTCCTGGTTGACTTTCAGATCTCTCATCGAATCATCATTCATCTCCTTCGTTCTGATCTGCCATTGTGGCGAATTAGAGAAGCATCTGACATGCTTGCATGCTATTCCTGCTCTGGGAGTAGGTACAGCTCTCGGTGCGGGGTAGCGTCTGCTTGCAATGCGAAGTGCAGTCGGGAATCTGTTAGCCAGCAGAGCCATTATGTGAGGAAAAGTGAGGAGGGAAAGAGATGAAAGTCATGGCGGCACGGGTCATGGAAGTCGGCATCTCAAAGGATAACATGACATGACAGGCGCCCAGTCGTAAGGAAGGGGCGGGTCGGATGTCCGATAACAGTAGTGCGGGACTATCCCGCTTTCTGATATGCAGGTTATCCGTCGGCTAATGGAAGCATGCAAACACGCGATGATAAGGCGGATGGAATGGACATTAGTTGAAGAATGGCAGTTTGTTGCTTTGGCGGTTTGTTCCAGAAAGATGCTGAACTCATGGGGCGGGGCGAAATGGGTGCGCCCCGTGTGCTAATAATGTGTGTATTGGGGTGGGGTATCTATAGTGTAGCTTGTCCTTAACGCCTTTGTATGCTGCTTAAATCAAATTGCCTCCGCGAATTTTCTGGCTGTGCGACGGATCTCAGACGGCCTTGCCTTTCCCCTTTGCTTCGATCACTGGCTTGACGTCCTCCTCGGAGACCTCGTCCTCTTCCTCGCTATCGCTCATGAACTCATCATCTTCGTCGTCCCAGCCAAACATAGCCCGTTGTTGCACAGGTTTTGACGAAGAAGCGGTCGGTTGAGCCTCGTCCTCTTCATCCTCTGAGCTGTCTCGCTGTGCCATCAGCATCTTCTCGATAGCTTCTCTCGTCTTGTTCTCTGCTTCCTCTTTGTCCTCAACCCACTTCCCATCAAGACGTGCTGTTCCTCTGCTGTTTTGTAGCTCTTCTTGCTTGCGCTCGGTGCTGGCCACGATGTCCTCCCACTTCTTCCGTCGCTCCTCCTTTTCGCGCTGCTCCATCTCGGGCTTGATCGCGAGGTACTCGGCAAGCACCTTGGCTTCAGTGACTGTGCGCAGGCGTCGCCCGTCCAGATTTCGGGATGATCCATTCACGTCGCCCTGCTTCTTCTTGCGCGAGGACATGCGACCACCCTGGGCGCGCAGGATAGATCCGAAACCACCCTTTCCACCACATAGCGGTACGGTCAGGCGTAGGGATAGAAAAGTGTCTGCAGGCGAGGACAGGAGCGACGACACGGGCGCAGCGTCATGACGTACGGAGCGGCGCGAGTTGGTGGTCAGGATGTAGGATGAGTTCTGGATCCACGGTGCGCGCTCGTAGAGTGTATCGTAGATGGAGGTAAGAGGCGCATCCTTTTGCGTCGCAAAGGCGATGTTCTGCCCGCGAATGCTGTTGACGATGACGGTGATGGGGGACTGGGTGGCGGCGTCCATGGTTGCGACGCGGTGTTGTGTATTTTGCGCGTGCGTGGTGAATATCGCGATCGCTTGCGAATGCGATTTGGGAGTTTTAACTCTGGTTAGGGTGAAAGTTGCTTGTTGGTGGGCGAGAGTGGTTTGGTGAGGGAGCAGGCGACTGAGTCTTGAAGATTGGGGACCGGGCCTTGGCGGAACCGCAACAGCTGGTCATAGCGCTCGCTTAGACTAGCTTCGCACCCATCACTCGAAATCGCCTGCCCTCTACCAGCGAACTTCTGCCCTTATCGACCTTCAACCACAACTCTGACATCCCGAGACTTCTCGCAAACCGTCAAGATGCTCATCCCCAAGGCCGACCGCAAGAAGATCCACGAGTTAGTCCCCCTCTACAACAAACAATGCCACGGCGCATTCGAGCTCTGAGTTTCGCACGAAATGATACGACTTGATATGGGCTGAGCTACACTTGATTCCCTTCCATACAATTGAACATATTTGCTAACCGTTCTCCTCTCCAGGTACCTCTTCAGAGGTTAGTATCCCCGCGCACTCGAGCCATGGCTATGGCACAATTATACATTTTCGCGGCTTTGCTGCATATAAGGATAGGCTGACACACGGTCACCACAGAGGGAGTTCTGGTTGCTAAGAAGGACTTCAACCTTCCCAAGCACGGCGAGATCGACACCAAGAACCTTTACGTCGTCAAGGCTTGTCAGTGCCCCCTACTGCACTGCGACATCGTCGGCCCCTAACAGTCAACAGGCCAGTCTTTGACCTCGCGCGGTTACCTCAAGACCCGCTTCTCGTGGCAATGGTACTACTACACCCTCACCCCCGAGGGTCT